ATTTTCAACCCTGACCGAGATGGTGAGCCCTCCACCTCCACATGCCCCCTGGCTCCCTGTGCCCTAACCTCGCCGGAGCACCGTGGAGAAATGCAAAAATCTACTCCCCGTGCTCGCTCACTCACACCGCCGTGCCGAATCATACAGGCAAAAAAAAAAAAAGGGAAGCAACCCGTAACAGCACTACAGGGCTCGGATCAATCCAGGTAAAAAGCATAACACAGGACGGAGAGAGCAGGAATATCGAGCAGCACTTTGGCTTTTTCAACTTATTTCCCCTATTTGTCTAATAGGCCTTTTAAATTGGGGGTTATCACTTGGAAGCTGAACAGATGCACAGAGGGAAGCGGAGCTGCTTCCACAAACACTCGGTTACATGCTTGCAGAGTTAATCATATGTAGACGCCCTTTCCCACCCACACTCGCTGACTCTTTCTCACACACACACTCATACATATAGGATGAAGGAAGATTGAGTGGGCGTATGTGCAGGCCAAGGCCTCAGCACCTCCAGGCGAGTGCAAAAAAATAAAAAATAGACTAACCCCCATTCCAATAAAACCCTCTGTGGAGAGGAGAAAACGATGAGGCATTTCAGTTTTCTCTACCTCCTCCTGCCCTGTGCGCCTTGGGCTGTGAGAAACTGCTTGACACACTGCTTATCAACAGCTGAGCTCCACAACTACAGCGAGGAAGTCCAGAGTGCTCCGCCGACAGCACTGCGACGCCGGGTGTTATTACACGGGACCCGTGTTGCAAAAAGGAGATAATTATGCAACACTTGCCCCGGAAAGTGTCAGAAACCCAGAGACACAAAGCAGAGACATCAAAATCACATTTCCAGCTCCTTGCAACGTGACACAACTGCGTGAATAGAAGCGACAATCATTGTGAAAACCCTTTCAGCCAGAGCGGTCATTGACGGCCCTTGTGAAAGTGGCGTTTTTCTCTGCACTTTGTCAGTGAACAATGCAAAAAACATCAAGCATTATTAATTCTTCAATTTACAGAGAGAAGGGAGGGATGGAGGGAAGAAAGGGGGAATAAATGGCTGTAACTGCACTGATAAATCTCGTCTGTGTTCACTTTTAACGGAACAAACAAAGAGTCTCACGATTCTGTAAAATTCCCCTTGAGTTACATGTTTAAAAGTGGATTAAACAGTGGAGACCGTGACTTCTGCCTCCGAGGTCAAAGACAGGAAGACATATGACTCAGATTATTCGTATCTCAGAGAAAGGAAACTGACCAACGCAGTCGTAGCAGCTGCGCCTCATTCTCCTCTTCTTCTTATCCTTCCCTTCCCATGCTTGTTCTCTCTCTCCTTTTGCCGTTTCACCCCACAAACTTCACCGTGCTTTGTTTTCTTTCATCCTCATCATCTGCTCTGTCTTTCCTGTCTGCCCTCCACGGCCCCACTCAGACGTGCAGGTTTTCAAACGCAGCCTGGCATTTGATTATCAGATGAAGGGGGGGATTATAGCCTGATAATGTCAGACACATGCACAAAAACAACTCGTGTAAAACTTTTGGATTGTGCTGCAGGAATCAATAGACCAACCTTCAACGTCAATTATCTGCTGGAAAACAAAGTATTTGTTTGTGCTACATCACAAAACATGGACTAATTATTGATCCTTGTGAGCCATTCTTTCCATTCAGGCATATTTTCTGGAGTTTGTCTTTTACGCAGCAGGAGTTTGTCCTGGTCAGATGCATTTATGACAACAGGAAAATGTATTGTTCCAGTTTTTAACCCACCTTTTCATTCTGCAACCTACTCAGACTTTAGCGTTCTCACATTCAGCCTCTCTTTCTGACCGAAAACTGCCTTCTGAACTGCTGGGGTTATGTGCAGCTGACGTGCCCTTGAGCAAGAAACTTCATTGCACCGGAGAGCCCTTTAACACGCCAACGCTAAAAGTGTGTGATTGCACTGGGCACAATCCAGGACGTAATGTGTGTAACTGTGAGAATGTGAAAAGAGCTCGCCATTCTCTTAATACATTTCACCCAAAAAAAAGAAAGCCACAGTTCACTTAATGGTCTGCGTTTTTGCAGAAAGATTCTATCTACGATTAAAAGTTCCTTTGTTATTAACCTGTTGCGGTGAAAATGTGGGGAGTGTTTCAACAACATGGGATCAAGCCAAACCGCTGGCAGTGAATTATAACAGTGTGTATAATCAGTGCGCTTCAACAGGAAATTGCTTATTTGAGATATAAATGCTGCTGCATTATTCTAATGAAAATGTCAACACAAATTACCATTCATCCGGAATACTAATAATACACCATCATAGAAAACGACTTACTTGCAGTCCAGCCTCTCGATCTCAAAGTGCGGGTTGAAGTTGAGGACGATGCGCTGCGACGGTTCCGGTGCCTTGATGATCCAGTGGCAGTTCTGGTGAGGCGGGTACTCCAGAGGATAACCGGGAGAGGTGATGTAGCCCGCCTTGCTGGCATCGAACACACCGTTGCACTCTGATGCTGCGATAGAGACGGAGAAGGGAACTGTTATTGGTTGTAAAACAGACAAAAGACTAATCAGTATATTGAGCGTGTATTTATTTTAACAATACAGCTGCATGGCAGGCCGGGAATCAAACCACACAAATCCCCAGTAAATGGTACATTCCCAACAATATGGGACGCTCCTTCATTTACCTTGTTTCTCTGTATGAAGATGTGATGAGCAACAAATGAACGGTAAAACAAAGAAAGCAATTTAGGCCGTCAGTTAGCAGGAAATTGGAAAAACTTCTCCATTGTGGATTCTCAGTGTGAGTGGGACCACATGGATAAGCTATTAAAACAATAAAGGATCATCACTGCGCACACAAAAACACACACACACACACACACACACAGACAGAGAGAGAAACACACAGAGCCTTTTTCACCCTCTTCCACACCCAGGCTCTTATCTCTCCAGTTCCCCACTGGGAGCGTTCTCCAAGAGTAATTGTTGCTCTGGCAAGGCAATCTGCAAACATTAGGACACATTCCCTGATCCTATCGCACTCCCCCAGGAACAATGGGCTGCCAATGGCATTGCTCAAATGCTCAAGACAGGAAGTGACACACAAGACGGCCTTGTTTAGCGGGGTTCTGGGGGGTTCACCCCAAATCTGTAATGAGAAGCTAACGCGGCAACAAAAGGCCCCATTCTCTGCTCACGTCCTGACGGCTACAGCAGCAGTAGCGCTTCGTGTTATCTCCCATAAACACGCTAAACACACAAACTCCCACGTATGCACAAAAAAGAACATGTATATGGGTATTCTGCGCACACCCAATGGGATATCACACAACAATGCACAATGGTTCTTTTATTACTCTTGCAGTGCAATAGATTTTCAGGCATTATTATTCTTTACAGAAAGGCGGAGGCGAAACGTGCTCTCCATGACAACAGCGAAGGGTGGGTTTCGCTGTCTACCTAACGCTCACTGTACAGACGTGCACGTGTGCTTGGTCGCCGGTGCTCCAGTGGGATCTCTAAATGTAATGAACTGTGATATTGAACTCATGGAGGAGAAAATGTTCTCTTAATATTGCAGCATGGTGCACACTGGCCAAATAAGGAGCAGGATGGAAAACAAAGCGGCATCAGGCAACAAACTGGAGCTCATGGTGTACCATGCACTACCAAATGGCGGGCTCCACCACTCAGCTGCTGAGCTGCATCTATTCTTGACATAAATGGGTTGATACCCTGTTTCTTTCACATTTCTGTGAAAGCATCAATAAAGGAAGTGGAAAAAGCAAAAAAAAACACAGCACCAAAGGCTTAGAGTGTAATAGACCCTTCAAGTGTTGACATTTCCACCGCCTATTGTGCTTAAAAGGCACACTTAAGATTCTCTGACATTTGATCGAGCCGCGATGGCTTCCTTATTTTGTTACTGGAGAGGAGCGACGCCCACGCCCGCACACATGGCACACATAGCTGCCGGGATTTCACGAGAGTGCGCGACTCCGGGCCGCCCACATGCATGAGCAATTACTTGTGCAAGCTGTTACACAAATGTGCGCACAGGTTCAGGTGCACGTATGCTCGAGCACACACCCACACGTGCACTCGGCCGCTGCTCCATGTTGAAACGGCCCGCCCACGCACGGAGGGCCTGTCAATCACAGAGGTGGAAAAAAGATACCTGCAACATTTCAAAAAAGATAGCAGGGATGGGGAAGAATGACCGAGACAGACAGACACACGCAGACATCTCTTTATCTGCTGTGCCTGTGCAGACAGTCATTGTTCAGGAGCCTATGGAGGGAATAGTGTACAGGAGGCTATCAGCACGCAGAGCCTCAGCAGATTAAGCCGTTTGGGGAGAATCCTGCAGCCTCAACACTTTTTTTTCCCCAAGCTGCCCATTCAGTGTCCTCCAAGGAGGATGAGGAGAAGGAGGAGGAGAGGATGAGTGGGGAAGGGAAATGGGAGAGGCGAAGGAGAGAGAGAGAGAGGATAAGAGCGAAGTGGGGATGAGGAAGGGCGGATTGAACGGGCGAGGCGATGGATGGAAGACGGATTGGGGAGGAAGGGGGAAGATTGATCGGAAGGGGAGCCGGGGAGAAGGCGGTGGGTGGGGTTCGATGCACGGCGGGCAGAAGTGGGGAAGAGGGGAGGAACGAGTGACAGGCGGGGGGGGGGAAGGAGGGAGGCGGCGAAAAAAGGTGATGAGGAGGGAGAAATACAGAGGGTGAGAGAAAGATGTAGTAAGGAGAGGTTGACGAAGAGGAGGGACTATATAGTGTGTGTGTGTGTGTGTGTGGGTGATGTGCAGAGAGCCTGACGAGCCTCATTAAGACATGCCTGCTATCCAGCGGCTCCCTGTAGACACTGACCCCACTGGGAAACCTCTGTCAGTCAGTGCATGTGTGTGTGTCTGTGTGTGTGTGTGCTGCAATAGAGGAAAGGAAAAGAATGATAGTGATGCAGCTGCAATATATCTGCACTTTTTTGATTATGGTGACTGATGTGTGTAGTTTTTCCTAATTGCTTGGTTATCCACAGCAATTAGTACAAAATATGCATGTGTGTGTGTGTGTCACTGTCAAGCAGCATTTTGGGTGAGAACAGAAAGCTTGGTGTTGGATGAGCAACACAGAGGAAGCACTCAGGAGCTGCCAGTGAGCTCCATGAATTACACTGTCTCTTCTACTAGAAGAGCCCATCTGTCCACACACACACACACACATATGTTCCGAGGCACCAAAACCCTATTACATGAATACATACATACAATGTCACTACTGTATGTGTGTGTGTTTGTGTGTGTGTGTGTGTGTAGACTAGTGCATTTGCAGGAGTGTGTTTTCATTTATTATCATGTGGAGGGAACACCATAAACGTGTGCATGCCTCTACAAGCAGCAACGCCATTTGTTTTTTTACTGCCACTGTAACTAATGTTGAAATAAAGAAAATAAATCTCTGCGTGTGCACGTCTCCTGCAGTCACTCCAGATCAAGCCCAGGCCCAGAGACGTCTTTGTGTCCACAGTGAGTGGCTTTATCTTCATTATCTGAGGAGAATGTGCATATGTCTGCACGTTCTGTAGCGTGTGTGTGTGTGTGTGTGTGTGTGTGTGTGTGTGTGTGTGTGTGTGTGCCCTTGCTCTCATTTCTATTAGTCGCCTTATCTGGGGTGGGGGGGGTGAAGTACGGCGTCACGCTCTGGGATAAGCTGCGAGTGAGAGGAGAGGCACTGATAAATCCCTCCATCATTCCTTGTGTCTCTCTCGCCCCTCCCTCCACCTTCCAACCCCCCGCCCGCCCCACCTTAATTAAAAAGTGCTATCGCCCAGAGTGAGGGAATGAGAGGGGAGAGTGGGCAGCACTCATCCATTCAGTCAAAAGGCGAGGGGGTTTGTCTCCGCGCCTGCTTTTAATCTCGCCCCATTCCACACTAGACTGGACCCGGCGAGAGGGGACGAGGCCGAGGAGGAAGAGATTCACCTTCGTTGCCCCCCCCCCCCGGCCCAGTGCATAGGCAGAAACGACCGTGCTTTGGGGGAGAGGAGAATTCAAAATTCATAGAAATAGAAAATCCACCATCACTGCCACATGGTTAAATATAATTAATACACTGGTTTTAAAGGTTTGGTATGTTTCATACTTGAGAGCAAGTACTTCCAAATGATAAATTGATTGCAGTATTACTACACTAATGCCATATTTCTTTATAAAAACTGTATGTTGATCTGATTCCGTGCTTTAGTGCCTTTATCTGAATAATGCATCTATTTAAAAGAGTAGATTCAGTGCTTTTAGAAAAGTTGCAGAGGAGTTTCGAGACTTATTTGAAGAACATTTTCGCAGCCTGAGAGGTGAAGAAAACAGGTAAAGAGAGTCCTCAATGCACTGGGATATGAAAGCCACATTTTTATCACCCCCTTTCTTCCCTTATCTACCGCACAGCAGCTGGATGGTGAAAAAAAATGAATTCAGATATAGTTCAATGAGTAAATGAAACTGTAAAAGTTGGGGGGGGGGGGTAACAAATGGAAAATACACTTTATGAAAGTGTGGGAGTTTCAGTGTTTGAACACAGAAATGTCCAATTTTGCATGTGGAAGGATATAAATGCACATATATATATATTCATTTCTTGGATTTTACATTATGAGGAACAAGACGTCCTTTGAGTCTGAAATACTAACATGTCCTGGTGTTGTAGATTGGATATATTCCATAGCCATTAATCAACAATCAGCCGAGAAATGCAACATACCTAGTCAGCACCACCTAAATGGGACTTTCTTTCATTGAAGAACTCAAAGCCCAATAATATCCTAAAAAAATCCTCTTTTCCTCTCCTTTTCTTCTCCTCCCTCCCTAACAGGATAAGTGCTCCATGCTAATCAGCTAAGTGGACAATGCCGGCCACCGTGATCAATGCCTCAATGGATCAATCGCGTAAACAGATGGTTGCTGGTGCCTGCAGGGGGGGTGTGGGGTGGGGTGGGGTAAATAGCGTGAGACTAATCTGAAACAGTACCTGACTGCGGTATCGCACCTCCTGCTCCCTCCCTGCACCCTTTTGTCTCAGTGCGGCACCGTGAAACCTGCACGGGCCCGAGTAACTTCTCACCAGAGATTTAGAGTGGAAGGGAGAGCTGTGAAGAAACGAGCTTTTCTGCAAGAGTCAGGGTGATTTGTTGCCCCTCTCTCCACCCCCACCCCAATATTACAGACTGTGCCGACTGCGGTTCTTTCTTTTCTCTCGCTTAACACCCTTTAACTGTTTCTTCTTGTTCCCTCTCCTCTTTAACCCCCTCTGTGAGCGACACTAAATTTCAAATGCTATGCCTCTTGACAATGGCGGCCCTCTCCCCGGCTCCCACCTAAGCCTGTCCCCGAGCAGCCATTAAGACCCCCCATGTGCGGCTAATGCGACAGAGTGAAAGACCCAGCTCTATTTTATTTATGGGGGTCTTGTTTTTAATTTCACCCCCAAGAGCGAAGGGCTGTTCCAGGGCTTTTTACGTGAGCCCGTGCCTCTCATACCTGACTGGTACTGAACCGGCTGCTCAGCCTGTCTTTGGCTATGAATGCTAATAGGTGACCTTGTTTTCTTCAGCTGATACCTCTGAGGCTGGGGCAGATTAAAACATAGAGAAATGCAAAGAATCGAAAGGCAGGCAGGGTAAGATATGAGGGGAGAAAGAGCAGCGGCATGAGAGGAGAGAAAAACAAATAGACAAGGGCAAAAGAAATAAAATAGAAATGAGGAAGTCTGTTCACTCACAAGCCAACATCTGGAAAATAAATGATTAAATGAACAGAAATCCAACTCTGCAAGAAGAAGATACCATAGATGGAGAGGAGGCAGAGCCACCCACTCAATAAACATGCAAATGAGCCGCTTAATGGCCTGAATATTAATGCTCGTAGTATCGAGTAATTAATGTACATGTCACCGAGTCAAACTATTGTGATTACAGCACAAGTGCAAGTCTATCTGCTTCAGATGCAGCAGGGACAGGGGACCATTTGGATTCCGAGTGAAAGGTGCCGCCCGCAGAGAACAGCGGGCCACAACTGGAAGTGTCTGAGCAGCCGAACATCTTTCACGGATCATTTAGCTCGAGACCGTGGAAGATTTTTGTGCTTGCGGAGGAATTGCCTCGGGCCAGCATCCGTTTGCTGCAAAACATTTCGTTGTTCAGGGAAAAACCTTCTGCTACTGGAAATGTATCAAGTTGCTAAAAAACCCCAGATGGAGTCCGTCATCAAAAGCAGAACTCTTTGGAAAGGAAAAAGCTTTAATGTGACTCCAATGTGCTTAACTTTCATGAGTGCATCCTTTTGTAACTGTGTTTTTCTCCGATGGTACACACTTCTTTTATTTTCATCCTCCCTGCAGAGCTCTGGCAGTGACTTTACCCCCACTTTAGCTGTGTCACCCCAGACGATAGTGTCACTTCATAAACCCTGCTCCCTCACCGACCAGTGCCATTTAACTCTGCGACCCCTACACGCTTTGATGTTGCCCTTTCCTCTCACACTTCTGTTTGATGCGTGGCCCACATACACCCCCCCCCACCAGCTTCTCCGAGGCTTCATCTCACTTGTTCACTTCTTGTTTCTCTGCGTCACGGCCTGGTGGATGCCACGCTCGCTTCTCCCCTCACTTCTCTGTGCCTTGGTTACGATTGCATCTGTCTTCCATTCTCCTCCGCAGTCATTATCTCCCTGTCCCCTCACATCTCTCTCCCTCTCTGCTGCACCCTCCTCCCCCTCCTCCTCCTCTTCCTCTACCCTGACTCTTGTGAACCTCGCTGTTCTGTCTCCGTTCTGTTCTCTTTCAGTCGCTCTTTTCTCTGGCATCTGTGAGTAATGTGGCTCTTGAGGGGAGCATGGAAGCAGGGACATGGTGCAGTGTCTTGGCAGGAGAGGGAGAGAGGAAGAGAGGGAGAGGGGAAGAGAGAGTAGGGGGATCTAGCTCCTTGCTTGCCTGATGGCTGCCAAGAGGCCCACATCTGTCTCTGATCAACGGGTACACAGGCACATTAAGCCAGTAAAACACACACGCAGAGAGGAGGGGTGACTGCCCTGTCCAGGACAAGTATTCTAAACAAGAACAAGAAAGATTTGAACCGAACAGAATTCGGTTTCCTTTAGGAACTACAACAATCAGCTACATTACACAAACAGCATATTTGTAAGACTCAATACATTATATGAGGAAAATACAGATATGACAAACATTATTCTACGAAGCACATTTCCTTTTACGCACAAGTCCCACCTGGCGCCAGGAAAGCGCAGAGTTCCATAAACTATAAACCTGTGACACCCGGAGTCAAAGCGCAGTAAAAGCATCAAGAATACTGGACCAGGTGCCTGCAGGGGTGAGTGAGCGAAAGGCCATGTGTCATCCTACTGGTGGCGTGACTTCTCTGTGAGCCCACTGTATATTTCCCATCATCACATGCAGCCCTATCTCCACCATGCACGTATCTTGTGAACAAATTAAGCAACACGTTATTATTATTATTATAATTATTTGCGTGCAAAGTGAATAGTGTCTGCTCCCTGGTGTAAAATCCACATTTAATTACGCTTCCACATTTAATTGCCGTTTCTCTACTAGAGCTTTACCCTCATGTGTTGACTGGTTTTCCTACAGTACAGCAAGAACTAGTCCTGCTTGAGTGCCGTAAAGCAAGGCTCCGGGTCCCTACCATTATTATTCACCCTGCTCCGCAATCTCCCCGCTTATTGTTATTTGATTGCTGAGAGCTCGCCGAGGTGACGGTGCGCCGCCGCCGCCTGGGGGCCGCCGGCGCACGGCCACCAGCAGCCCAGCCTTCACCCTGCACAGGAACACGAGGGGATAATGAAGGAGAGAGAGAGTCCTCGCGCCGGCTGATGAGGATAATGATTATAATTGTGGTGATTACAGTCCTACCAGTCAGATCCTTAGGCGACAGCGTGGCTTTTACGCACGGCGTCTTTAGACACCAGAAATTGTAAAAATAGCGGGTTATAGGCGGTGCTCATGCGTCTAAATAAACCTGTTTCCACTCTGATGTGAAGCTGCATTTTAATCAGCGCGGGTTTGTTTATTTCCCTTGGTGAATTATTAAATCAAAGAGTGGGGGGGAAACAACTCGGGGTAAACAATGTGTTTGGATTTTCAAAAAGCTTCATGCATATAATCATTCACAGCCCAGTGAGCTGCTGCTACAAAGCTCCATCCTGGACCCAGTCTAGCTGGGACAGATAACTGTTTCAGATCTGCTGAATATTTGATGTCAGCATCCAAGTTCTTTAGTTTTATATGCGTAAAAACAAGTTTGGCACAAAACTGAATTAATTATGGATTTGAATATTGAAACGCCATCATGGTTCCCACGGTTTTCCACACATTAGGCTCGTATATAAACATACTGTGCATGTGCGTAACCTTTGGCTTCCACCTCAAATTTACCAAATTTAGGATAAAAACATCAAATAGAGCAAGAGGCGAATGGATCTGGTTATTACACAATGGCTTTGTCATGTGTTGGAATAATCTGAAACATATGACAAGGAGTTATTGGGAAATATTTTCAAAAATGTTCAAACTGGTGATGTATGATCCCAGGAGATTAAACTAAATGTCAAGTCATGCATGTATGATTTAGAATTTAGGTTTTTGGCTGAAACAGATGCATGCGTAAAAGAACAAAAAATCAAAGAAGTGACTTAAACTCACCCTCTTCTCCTCTGACTCTAAACGCCAGATGACACATTGCGATTACCAATCCAATCAACGATGGCACAAAATCCATCTTGGATGATTCAGAAAACTCGCGGGGAGCTTTAAATTTCTAATGTTTCCACCTCGTGTGATAAAAATTCTCCAAAAATGAGAAATATATAAAAGGGAAAAGGGGAAGAGAGATCCACACCCTTCCAGGACCAAAAAAATAGCTGGTGACAGTGAAAATGAAAGAATTTGAGTAATAATCCCACGGCGATTATTAAAACATAGGAGGAGAAAACTATGTGACAACTACATGTCACTGGAGGAATTCAGATTTTCAGTTGCGCAGCGCTTTGCTTGGTGAGTCTTTCCATTCAGAGGAGGGATGAAACCAAACCTCATCCAAAAAACAGAGCGCAAACAAACTCCTGCAATCAAAACTGCGTGTTCCACAGCTGGGAGGCTCCGGGTTGATCTCTGCGCTCCGGGTAGAGAACGGCTCCACTGTGCGTCAAGTTCCAAATGAGAGTCTCCCACTCCGCGTATCCCCTGCCTCTGCGTCCCCGCGTATTTTGCGCACACAGATCTGAGTTCTCCACTTGAGGTTTTAGTAGTAGCAGCAAGCTGGAGTCTTAAAGTAATAGATCTCACAGCCTGGGAAGAATGAGTCCGCGTGCCGCAGCTGCGCTTTTACGCGGTGTGAAAGTCTTGCGTTGCGCTCTTGCGTTCCCAAAAACACCCCAGAATCATGTTCTGCCACCGCTGCTCTCTCCTGCGTTTTCTCCCTCTGTGGTGGTGGTGGAGGCTCCGTGCAGCCTCAGCTCCGCTTCGACACCGGCGTGTGCTCCTCGCCTGAGACCGCGAGGTGTGTGTGGAGCGTGTGTGGGAGTGATCTCCGCTTTTTGAGCCGAGAAGCTATCGCGTTACAGTCACGGTGCCTCGGCTCCGCCCCCCTCCAGTCGGTGGCTGATTATAGAGAGGGAGAGAGAGGGTGCACGGGCACGCGCATCGTTCTCACTCTCTGACACACACACAGATAGAGAGAAAGAGAGAGCGAGTGTCTCCAGGATTTCAGGGGACATGATTTCCTGGAGACATAACCAGTTACTTGCCTAAACCTAAACTTAACCTAAACTTTAACCATACCCTAAATCTAATGTTACCATAAGCCTAACCTTAACCCAACAGATACCACAGATAGGACCTCTTCCACAGATAAGGCAGAGATAACACAAATTGTAATGTCAGTCAGCAGAACATCTCCTCGAGGAACAGAGAGGAGACGGTGACTCCCAGAGAGAGTGAGAGAGAGAGAGAGAGGGAGAGGAGTGTGTGGCCGAGGGGGGGGGGGGGGGGGGGGGGGGGGGCAGTGGTGGCTGTGGTGGCGGCAAATGGCACGCGGCCGGCTTTCACCACAAAAGACACATCAAACGACCGGGGGCCAATGTCAAAGCCCTCAACTCAACGAAGGGGAGAGCCCACCTCGGCCCTGCCCAAGCTCAGCCCTACAATCAACAGGCCTAAATACAGAGCGGGGAGGTCGAGTAATGACACAGTAGTGAGCCCAAAATAATCTGCTGAGAAAGGCCTCTGCAGCGTCCAGCCCATGTGCCCTGCCTATGGCTTGTATTACCGTGCAATGTAACGGACTGGCTGAGACTCGGCTGTATAATGAGGTACAGTATGTAGCCTCGCTGGCATCCTTATTTGGAACAGCTAGGTGCATTCCTAAAGGTCAGGACACATGGGAAACATACTGTGCCCCTTCTGCCAGGGACGTTAACCCCTTTGTAGGTAAAACTGCTTTTTCTCGATAGACCTGAATTAAAGCTGGAGAGAAAGCGCACGGTGACAGCGAGGAACACAGACAAACAATACTACTATGTTGCCTTCCCCTCCTCGGTCACGAGTCGTAAACAAAGTCAACAAAAGGCCCCCGCGCCCTTGACAGAAGGTTGTATGACAGGTCTGTGACTGTGTGTCTGTCACCTCAGTCAACTGTCACCCTCCGCCGCTTTGCATCCCCCAGGTCGACTTGATGCCATCGACTTGCAGCATCTTCGCAGCCCGTCAGTCATCTTCAAGCCCACCTCTCGCCCGAGGGTGCGGCGCCTGTCACACGTCACTGTGATTGGCTAATCTGAGCCTCTGGGTGGGGACTCCACACTGGCATAAACCAGTTTGTTATTCCATGGAGCTGTTTGTGCACATTAGATGTGTTTGTTTCCTGCGTTTCTCATGTGTTAGTGTATATTGATGAGAAAGCATTGACTAATGGGAGCTGGCTGAACTTTGCTTAACCCCCATATTGAACTTTTCAGAAAGATAAAGAGAGATAAAGGGAGATAAAGGGAGATGCAGGGAGATAAAGGGAGAGCACAGGAACACTGGGTCACTTTCTGTTCTGTTCCCCCTCCCAGTCCCCAGGGGTCATTTGATACTCCTCTCTCCCATTTGTCAACATCACTGCCCCCACCACCAGCTTTCAACCCCCAAAATATTGGGTCAGCACATGGCTAATGGAGGTTCAGGAGAAGCCGGGAGATAGATAGATACAGAGCCACGGTACTCATGCATGTCTCAGTGTCAGAGGCTGTTTAGGTGTCACAGCAGTGAAATCCAACCTGCAGCTGCAAAACCTGAAGCCCCTTTTTCCTCTAACGTATTTTTCTCCAGGTTTCATCCGGAGTCCCTCTGTCATCTCTCCGCCTCAGAATACAGTCGACAAATGGCTGCCATGCGGTCCAACTCCTCACCTCAGCACACCTGCTCTGTGTTCACTCATGGGTGGTGGAGGGGAACACAAAAGGGTCTCCCCCCTCCATTATGTGTGTGTGTGTGTGTGTGTGTGTGAGGGAGAGACAGAGAGAGATAGACCCATACTGTCTCTCTTATCACAACTGGCTCCAGAGACTGACAGCATGACTGATAACTCTCCCTCTCTTTCTTTCTCTCCCTCGTCTGTCACACACAAACACACACACACACACACACACACACACACACACACANACACACACACACACACACACACACACACACACACACCTCTTTTACCTCTTTTGCGCTCTCTCAGCATCCCCCCAACCCATCAGTGTGTTTCGCCAGTCAGCCGGCCACGGGTCCAAAGGAGGGAACGGCGTGAACGCCTGGTATTCGCCAAGTGATCCCAAGTCGACGCCTTCAGCTATCTTCTCCTCATCGCGGACAGACACTGCTTTAGATCAGAGGACGGGGGGAGATAAGTTAGAGATAGCCTCGACTTGACCCTATCAGCATCTCGAGTGTGTGTGGAGGTGGGGTGACAGTGAGGGTACTGGGAGAAGATCAAAAGTGGTTGGTCATAGGCTCCAGATCTTTCCGACCACTTTCAGGGACGACAACCACATAATGAGGTGTTGCTGTTATACATGCACAGGTTGAGAGGCCTACAGACGCTGGGCATTAAAAATAAGAGGAAGCTGCTGCACCTCTAATCTTAAAAATGTGCCGTTTGTTATATTTTCTTTATCTGCACACACTTTTCTTTACGGCTGCAGTGACCCAATTTCCCCTTGGGATCATTAAAGTTTCATCTGATCTTTATCTTATAAGCATATCTGTGCACACACACATCCTCTGATATCTCCTCTGTTGAGAAAGATCCCCCCCTTCTTTTACCAGGAGGCACAAAATCACAAACCTCCTCCATCTTCCAACCTGCTATTTCTAGACTGACTTGCCACAGTCGGATTCCTGATGGGCCACCCAGGATATGGGCATGCCCTGGCCGGGGTAATAACTACACACACACACTGTACACAACCTACTATACTGTATGCACTAATCTTGGCTCTGCTGCGCTGTCTGGATTGTATGGAAACATCTGGTGTCTGTCTTAACCCTCCTCCTCCTCCTCCTCCTCCCTCTGTGTGTATATGCAGCTTCTGCATGTGCTACCTCCGATACTAAAAAACGTCTCAATCATCAAAACACTTTCAGAAGCAGATGGAGAGGAAACCTCAAAGTAGAGCTATACAGAAACGCATGAGCGTTAGATCAGTTTGTCAGCCACTGGCTGCTGTTACTCATGAGCCAGTGCAGGGGGGATTCATTTGCAGTACACAGCTCAGCCTAAGGGGGGCAGGCAACTGCATCAAGCCAAGGTGGTGAGAAATCCAGGCTGTGTTTTAGGAAAATGCTGTAAATATAAACCGACTTGCTGTTGGATCATGCATACATTAAGATGATTGATATATTCGATCCACACACAGGCCCGCTGCACATGTGACAGCTACCCAGACTAATTTGCTCAATCGTAGCATATCCAAAGCACCTCGGAGCGAGAATCCACGACTGATTCAGTAAATAAGTGGATATCAGCATGTGCCAACTATTTTGATGAATGGTGATTCATTAACCTGTTTACGTGCTGTTTCTGTGATTTTGATGCGTGCAAGATGGCTGCTGTTTTCTGTGCGCGTCTTCCCCTTAGCTGTCGTCGGCTTGCTTCAGAAATGTTGTTTGCCCACTTTAATTGCAAGATGCCTGCTCTATTCCCAGGCCGCCCCTTGTTTATGATGCAGCATCATTATCGTCTGTACTTTGCAGCGGAGAAAAGGGGAGAACGTATCTTCCTCCGCTCCTCCACCAGGATCTATTTTGCTTCTGCTCCGTCTCTTTCATGTCTTCCACTGGCCTGCTGTGCGTCTTTATAGTCACATCAAAGTGACCTTCGCCACCCTGCTCCCTGCAAAACCCCTCGCCCACCCCTCTTTTTAGTCTGAAGCCCAGAGAGAGAGACAGAGAGAAAGAGAGGGGGGGGGGGGGTTACAACACATATTTTCCAGACAGCTTTCAGCACCTGACGTGTTGAGCAGTTTTCAAATAACAGCGGAAATTCAGTCGACAGAAAAACTTCACAGCAGATGCTGCAGCTCATCTTTAGGCTTTTTCTCTGCTGCTAATAACAAATGTTGAGCAAAACAGGATCTTCTCTATGCTTCCACACGTACATTATATATATTTGCCTTTTGTGCATTCCCCCCCCCCATGTCTCTGAGCCCCCTCCACCTCTCGCAGGGTCCGCAGGCCCCCGCTCGCTCTGCCACGGCAGGAATGAGCGCTGAATTAGGAGGCAATAATAAAAAGACAAGAGGCCATTCTCCACGCCTTGTTTACTCTGCGGGGCCTTTATCACTCGGCCTCTGAAGGAAAGATCAGCGCTTGACAAACCGGGGAGAGAAAACACTGCAGGATAAATGCATGCTAATGAGAGAAAGAGAGAGTTTTCTTTTGTAAGGGAGGAGATGAAAGTGTTGTGAGGAGCTACAGTTTTGCACCTTTCTGCAACAGTATGTGGCAGAAAACAAAGAATAATGTCTTTATTATATGAAGTCAGGCTCTGAAGTGTAATATTACATTATCCATGCTTCATTTTTAATATAAATATAGTGCACATACTTCTATTGTGCTTATTAGGGGGTTTCACACCTTCCTTAGTTCACTTGAACCAAAGTTACCGGTGTGAAATGTTCCTTGAACCACATTTCAGATCCAAATGTATTTGTAGTGTCACATGAAAACAGAATTTTGGATAGTTCGGATGTTTAGCATGAAACTTGGTCCAGACTTTCAGGTGTAAAATGCCCTAAATGTATATATAACGTTTTCCATATATGAACATACATGATACACAATGTTTTCCTGTCATGAAAGAAATGTGTTTGAATAAAGTTGGATTGTTGAAGCATCTGTGAACATTTTCTCTGAATTCAAAAAGATGCTCGTAATTAGCTCGACTTGCAGGCAACAAGATGAAGCTGTAGATGTGAGGCAGGTGGTTGGAGGAAGTCGGAGATTTGCCGCACATCTGCCGCGAGAGAGGAAGCGGGTGGAGAGCGA